TTAGAACAAAGTTAAATACTGCCGTTCCACTCATAAGTATAATGTAAAATAGTTCTGTAAAAATTGTTAATATCACAGACATATTTCCTTTAACTATATTCCAAATGGAATCCAATACTGACATAAAAGTTCCAATATTTTCCTTTATAAAGTTTTGTATACCAGTCATGTTAAATAATTCTATATAAAAAATATATATATATCAAATAATTTTTAATTAATATTAGAATATTTATATACAAAAAATGTACAAAAATAAGAATTAATATTTATTTTAAATACAAAATCTTACGTAAAGGTGTTTTTCCAAAACTTTCTTTAAAACTTTCCCATACTGAATAAGCTACTGTAACATCTACAGTAGGTCCAATTAAATCAGAGTCTGCATTAGACATCATCCATGCTTGATAAAGTCTATCCCAAAGTTCTAAAACTTTCTTTTCCATTTGATCAGCTTTAGTAGCATCTAGATCTCTTACTAAACCTTTTATCTATATCACATATATATGTTGTCATTATTAAGATATATGTTATCATTATTAAGATATATTTATCAATAATAAGAATATACAATATAATATATATCTTACTCCATCAGAAATAGCACTTCGCCCATATGTATAAGCATTATCCAATACACTATTAACTGAATCTTCCCAGTGTTCAGGTAACCAATCAATATCTGGATTATTCATTAAAGATGAGTTAAGTATTTCTCCAGTAATGTGAATAAGATGCATACCTTCTGTATAAACCTAAAAAAATTATAATAATGTATAATTATTTGTAAAATATATAAAATAATTTTTATGTATATATAAATTCATTTTACCTGTATTGTTATAAAAATAGAAGTACAAGTAGTAAAAATAAGTAATCCAAAAATCACAGCAATTGTTACTACAGAATCAACTGAAGCTTTTAAAATTTTTGTTAATTTTTCATCAATTATGATTCCAAATTTATATAAACCTCTAATATTAGCTGGTAAGAGAGCTTGATGTCTTTTTATACACCATGTTTTTATAATTTGTTTTATAATATTATATTGATTTTCAATCATTTTCCATAATCCAAAATAACTACCAAGTTGTTTAATGATATAAAAAGCTATAGGAATAATCAATATATATATCATCCATCTATGTTTCCAAAAAAGCATACCTATGCAAGCATATAATGTACCATACATATATTTATCAGTATCAACTTTATCATTTTCTATATCTATAGATATTCGTAATTCTGTTTTTAATCTTCTTAACAAATAACGATCGCGTAATGACATAGAGTTAGAAGATTGCAATTTATGGCTCATTACAGTTCTATTATTTGTATCCAATGACATTGATTTTTTGGAAAATTTTGTTTTTGTTTCTTGGTATTCAATCTTCTTGTCTATATTTGTCTTGTTATCTATATTTTCTTCATTAATATCTTTTATAAGTTTTTCATTTTTAAAAGATGAAGAAAATGAATTTTGTTGCATATCTGTAGTTAAATTATTCGTTAATGCAAAAGATATTGCTTCCATAAATGTCATATGCTTGTCTTCTAATTCTTGATTTTCCATAATAAGTACTACTTCATAAATAAATCCTATTAAATATAGTATTTGTAATGTTATAAATACAATAATTTGATAAGCACCTAATATATTAGAAACATATAAACTAATTATAAACCACATAACAAACGATGAATAACGAAAATGAATAGAATTATTTGGTGTCCAATAAATATATAATATAGATAAATATCCAATAAGTATAAATGTAATCTGAAAAAATTACATTAATATTGACAAAAATACATATTTTATAAAACATTTTTTAAACAATTAAAAATTACCATAAAAGTATTGCAAGTTGTTATAAAAAATCCAAAAATAGTATTAAATATCAAACATATTCTCCATATGAGACAACTTAATATAGTAGGTGTATAATGATATATACCTAAGGCTAATGCTGTCAATAAAAATGCACTAGCAATATATTTCATTTGTTTCCACAAAAATGATCCTAAACTGTCAGAAGCTTTATCTACTATTTGCATAGGTAAAACTATTAAATTTATTATTAAAGGCGTATGAGATACTTCTGCTTTTTCAAACCACGATTGTACAATCGTAGTTAACGAGCATTTGAAAGGGAATAAAACAGAGCCACATAATAAAGCCCAGATTAAAGGTTTTACAAATGGTTTCAATATAATATATAATCCGTACCCAGCTGCTGAAATTAGACACAAGAGAAACAATGCCACGGCATTATAAATGCCTTGTTTTAATGCTTTTTCATGACCTGCACTAAAGCTTGATAACATGTTAAAGAGGTTATCCATAGGTGATTTCGTACTATCCATCATGAATAAGTAATCAATTGTTTTTAGCACTTATTATTTAATTTTGAATTTTTGTGTTACTTAATATCTTGTTAAAAAAAATAAAAAAAATATTTAGAAAATTATCATCAATTAGAAATGATAAACTGTTGTAAGAAGTAAATACTGTATACTACTATGTAGTCATTTATCCAATATTCTATATTAACTATACATAATATATATCACCATTATTATCAATAAAAAAAATAAAATATTCAAAATAGATTTCATAATAATATATAATATTTGTATTTGAAAATTTGTCTTTCTTTTTTTAAATAAAAATATAATAAATTAAAAAACTTATGAATAAATTTTTTATTATTAAATTTTTTTAAATTTTTCATTTCAATTAAATTAAAAAATTATTAAGATAAATTTTTTTTTTATAAATTCCAGAAATTTATTTTCCACAGTTTAATTAATCACATCATGAAGTTATAAAATATTAATTAACGTATAATTTTTTGCATATGCACAAAACGAAATTTTAAAAAATAATAAAACTGTTTTCATATGCAAAATTTAAAATGAAAAGATTTTATTTATTATTGATCAAAAACTATACACCTTAAGTATAAATGAATACATAAACGTAAAGACATGCTAAAGATGTAAATTTGATATTATAGCTTAATATTTTCGGAAGGTTAATAAAATGACAAAAGTATTATAAGATCGCCTCAAATATTTTTTATACAGTCTTAACCATCTCCGAATTATTAAAAAGCACAAACGTCTATCGCATGTACTTCTTTTTTTTATTTATAAATATGAAGATTATCGAAACGCGTTTCATGAGACAAAGGCATTTGTCGCTTTTAATGAATAAAAGTAAATATAAATGCTTTTTTTTGCATGTAATTTTATATGATTTTACATTCTTTATTCTTTTTCTTCTTTTTCTTTTTTTTTAGCTTATTTTCGATTATATTTATGATTTTATTGAACTCAATAAATCACTGCCAGCACGTAAAAGTTAAAAATACTTGATTTAGTGAAAAATTCATTATACTGTATGTGCGTGTATAGTACGCTTATTATTCATGTTTGTTGCAATCAGCGAATAAATCTACCAACACTAATCACAGTATTTTGATCACAAATACGTACGTCAAACATTAGAAATACATTTGAGACATTATGCGATATTAATTATATGGACACAATTATTCATTTGAATTTTTGTAAAACTACTGAACATATTTTGTTTGTTTTTCATTTTACATTTACTAAAGAATAATACGCTAAAAAGACGAAGATTTTAAAAAATAATATTAACGTAATTGAAAATAACAAAGAAACTTTGATTTAATCATTACACTTTCATTTTTTCATTTTTTTTTTATCATTAATACTTATTAAATTTCTTAATAACTGTCATGAAACTTAATTAATCATATAATCATTGGTAGTCATTTCTAGAATCTGTAATTCATCTTAAAATGCACCCAAAAAATCATGACTTATTCTATCATAAAATTGCTATTATATTTAATCCCTTAATTTCTTTTAAAAGTATATTTCATAAGTAGGTAAACTACAAAATACTTTTCAAGATGATTATCAATCAACTAATTAATTAATATTAAGATGACAAAAAAATAAACATTAATATGATGATATCGCATAAAAATACCACATAATCTTACTATTAACATTCATTGCTTTCTCTTTTCAATCATTTCTTATTGTAATATATCGTCGAAATCAAAAATACATGTGATGATTCTTGAATCTTAATATGGACAAGTTATACTTTAGTGCCATCGTCTAATAATAAGCTATGATGAAAACATGTATATATAATTCTGTATCAAGCACATAAAATAAATTATGAGTTTGTATCTAAATTGTATATTAGGCTATAGAGTTGAATAAAATAATTTAAAATGAAAATATTTTAAGAAACATATTTTGTTAAATAATTGGGATTTAATATTTCTAGCAAAATTATTGATCTGATATACTAACTTATTTATTTCAATATATCAAATATCCAATATTTAAAAAAATATATATTTCTTGAAATATATGTAATTTATTGTTAGAAATATTATTTTACTGAGCAATTAGATTAACTCAAAAAATTCTAGCCCGTATTTGTTTTTTATAATACAAAATTACTGAAAGAATTAAAATTTAATTATATTAATTATCTCTTGAACATAAATTCCCAAAAATGTTTGACAAATGGCGATAAAGTAACTTGTTTATGTAACAAATTAGTAAAAAAAAAAAAACAATAAATATATATATTTATATTTTCCTCTTTTTTTTAATAGCGCACGGTTATTATATATATA